ACAAAGCCATATTAATAACAAAACTAGGTTGGAGGATAGCTTATTTTCTGCATAAAGCAAGAATACTTTATTTATGCGTAAAGTATACACAGTAATTATAATGCTTTTCTAACCACCATCTATAGTTAGCCTATGTTATATTTCTTATAAAAGGACTAGTGCAAATTTAAAAATATCTATCATTCTGTGTCCTTCACTTTATTCCTCGTGGTAATAAGAATCTTATTTGCTAAGAATTATTCCACTATAACCAGTATTTCTTATTCCCTATCAGCATGTAAGGTATAGCTTATTGCAGAGGCAGATTGAATAGCAATACCATTTTAGAGAATTACCCATATTTACTTTGTGGGTACCATTCGAATAACCAGCTTTTATGGCCCTGCTGTATAATAGGAGACAAGAGAGATATACTCCTGCAATGCGTTATTCGACCTTTTTTAGGTAGACGTATAGTCCAGTTGCCTGACCGAGGGTGCGAGTTTTCTTGCTGGAACAGCGTTGCCCCCTAAGCCCAGACGGCAGGACATTAGCTCAAATGACCGAACCCGCGAGGCACTGAAAACATTAGCATTGCCATACACTAGGGCTGTGACTGCCAACGTCTAGCAGACCAATCGCAGTCAAATTCGACATCCTCTTGCGCATGATTGGCGCGACGGACGACAATGGGACGACAGGAACTGAGCCCGGGTGACTGTGTGGAGCCTGGCTTTTGCCCTAGTCACTGATGGGGTAGATATTCGCCAGCTAATTGCCTGTACGACAGGCTGCTTAGATTATGTTGGTGATGCTAAGACGGCTGGGTCAGTGATCCCTAGGAGAAGACACCAGAACTGGACGGAATCGCCTACGATATGAGTATATGCCAGAATGGTGGAGTTGAAGCCTAAGTAGGAAAAATATCAAACAAGCAATGACAGACGTAAATGCAGTCTGCTAACATTGCCCTAGTTACGGCTCAGAAGGCTGAAATGCAGCAGTTGACTTACGTGGCCTAATTCCTTGGTAATACGGCGTGATTAGGGCCTGCGTAAAGTGAGTTAAAATATTTAAATATTGGCTGAAATCGTGGACTTATTCTATCCTGCCATTTTAGATGTGCTATCATCTGCAAGTATTTTATGCTCATGAAAAAGATTACGAAATACCTGTTATTACAAATGAGCTTTACGTCATCCCTGGATCATCAAGCTTTACCGATCCAAGGAAAAGAATAAATGGATTGTATAAGCCCTATTTTACGTCTTGTTGAGCTGATGAAGTGTGAGTCTGTGCGCATGTAAATCAGACTTAACACAACTTTTGACATAATGTGAATATGGTTAGAATCTTCACTGAGCTGACCAGTTGAGTCGCCTTCTTTCGGTCGGGGGTTCAACACCATGTATTTCCTTCAGTTTATCAATCAAGTATAAGGGGTTCTTACTCTTATTTCGAACTCCATCTCTTGCATCCTATAATCAAATAATTTAACTATATTCTATTAGAAGTTGTTTGACCTTGTTTTCGCAACTCGGTCCGCACCTAGTCCGGAGTCCATTGTATGCATCATCGTTTCCAGAGTGGGACCGTAGATGTGGTACATTCCCAGACGTTTCGCCGGCATCGTAGTCGGCATCGTCAGTGAGTATCGCCATTCTTAG